TATATGCACATCTGCAAGTAAGTGATGGTATTTTTAGATGGAATCTTTCTTCAATGTAGTAGTAGATACGGAGTACATATTGCTACCATTTCATGTCGATGTACTCCGTAGGCGGAAGAACCTCGGGCCATTTGTTCTGATGGTCCATTAAACACACGGGATAACCGCGAGTGGCCCCCATATGCAGATCTGGAAGACAATCTGTGCTCATAGTATCGGCCGAGATCTGCATGACTGGGTATGATCATTTGGATGGATATCGCTCATTTGTTATCGGACATATGATCCTTATGTAGGAGATGTGGGAGATATGATCATCATCTGCTGTTGACTTGCACAGACGGTCGAGCCTGTGGAGTGAACCAGGGTGTCCGTCATTGCATTAAGGCTGAGACAGCGGTTTAACACTTGGTTTTCACAGAGTGGGGATCGTTGACGGCCAGCCCGGTAAGGCCGTGAGATTTCATGTGTCCACTCGGCTAACCGGCACCGTCAAACAATTCTGACAATCTATTTCAGTGCGTCGCTAATGTGTATCGAAGCCGTTCGAATATACGGAGTAATTAAAGTTGGACAGTTGGACTTGCAGCGAGGTTTTCTATAACGCACATGACCCACGATGCGACGGACAATTATTCAAGGAAATATATATCTAGATTTCATAGCCATGTATGGCCCAATAAGAGGGGTCGGAAATCAAATGGCCATCTCGAACGCGGGTTCTCCGACACCGCTACGGAGTACATGCAGGCCAACTGCTACGCAAGACTGATGATGATGATCCTTAGTGGGTTGGGCATTCATTTCACTGAGACTTTATCGGCGCCAAGCCTGACGGAATTATGTATTTGACCTGACTTTAATATAACGTGGTTTGATGGCGTGTTACTGCAGCTTATATTGAACTGTGCACATCGACTGTCACCGAGATATATTGATATAGTTTAGTATAGTTACGTATGAGTAGGTTATGATTTCTTGTTTTCGGTTTTACCCTGGTATGAACGAACCTCATCGCACGCCACTTTTACAGAGACCCTACTGCCAAGCTATGAGTACGTATGCTTTGTGGTACACTCTATAGGTAACAACATTCGGAATCGCGAGCGGTCATACCCGCTTCCCCAGACGTTACTCCGCTCCAGCTACGGGAGGCACGGCTATGGTAAAATGACATGTTCCTAGCCAAGAGCACGAGTTTGCGCTTCATCCTTGGGGCTCTCTCGGCAGGGTGGCCAAGGCGCCTGGAACTGTTGCGAGATATAATGAGCCAAACGGCAACTGCTGCCCAGAGAATGCTGATCACAATGAAGGGACAGGATTTTCATTGTGAGTGCCAGCGATTAGAATTTTATGCCGTGCAGCGCCATATGTCATTTGTGCTCGAGCCGGTGGGAGATCCGAAGCTGGTCGGATACGTACTGTCCGGGATCGACATCTTCTGGGGCAAGCTGGCAAGCAGTCCACCTCCGAGAAAGAGCTTGTAGGAGAGCTCCATCGGGGGGTACACTAACACCGGAACTCCCTATTAAATATCTTCTGCTTGTCGATCGACGGCAGTAGTTGAGGACGATCTCAGACAGGCCACGTCTGACAACCCGAGACACAAAAGCAGTCGTGCAGTTGCTGTTTACCTAATATATTGATCGTTTACTGCGCCACCTTACACACGACACCCACGGTAGAAAGTGATGAGGTAGGGGGGACAATTGCCAATCCCTCGGCGACTCTGGGCAATTGGCTCGGCGTGGTTGTGGGAAGAGCAAGTTGTTCTTCGGGGTTTCAGCCATCGATCGACTTCGTAACTCTCATTCAGTCACGAGACTTGGCTTATCATGAAAGGGGTTCCACCACACAATGGGGACATCTTAGTCGAGACCCATGTTTATATGTGCAAGATCACCAACAATGTGGAATCAATTTCGAAAGGGAAGATGAAACAACAAATGAAAGACGCAAATCAAACGAAACATAAATGAATTAGAAAAAAAAAAACCAACAAAGTATTAGGGTCTGTAATGGTGCATACACCGTAAGAAAACTAAAGATCTGGTGTATTACTGCCAAGCCGCTCATCCACCTCCGAACGCGGATCATAGACACTTTCCTTTGTCCAAACAGCCAATCATGGCGTCTTGAGGGGTCATTGAAATCCCCGCAGGCTCTTGGCATCTTGGCGGAGGGTCCGTAAAGGGAAAGGTGCCAATACTGGAGTGACGACCGAGGCCCGTCTGACTGCCTGGGTTTACGGTATTGACCCCCATTCATTCTTTACTCGACGGGACACGAACACAGCATCTTCAACCTTCGTTGTATCGCCCAAATGGCGCGGGTCTTCTCTCAGCCCGAGGATCCTTCCTCCGTCCTTTCTTTCCGGCCATGGATTTCAATCCACCTCCGTGATATATATACACATGTCTTCTTCCATATTTGTTGATATCCCCAGAACTGTGGAGGGGAGGACGAAAAGTGAAAAGAAAAGCAGAAAAGACCAAAAAACACAGTGACCATCCGTTGACGTCGTCCAGGGTGCCAAGGGCTCGGCATCTGGGCGTCTTGGCGGCGAAGAAAAAGCAGAAGAAGGAGAGCCTTTCCGCTGCGTTTGAGCTCTGCCATTTTTCTTGTCCTTGTCTTGGATTTCCGCTCTGTCCTACTATTGCTTCTCCATGGCATGCTTATAAGTTTCCCCTTCTTCCGCTCCTCTGTCCGTCGCCTCCATCCCTCCTCCCGGTCAGCCCTCCTCACCATATCTCGTCCTCTCTGCCCCCCTTCTTACCACACTCCCTTTCCCCCCACCCCACCTTTGCTGTGGGATCGTCACTTGCCTTTATCAGCGGATATGCCCCTTGCGCTGCGAGCCATGCGGTGAGCAGAACCTTGTCGCCCTGTGTACGATTCTGTACCACTCTGTGTCGCATTTCTGAAGGGGGCCGACGAAACACTATCACGCCCTTGATTTCTCCACCGACTCTTTCGTCTCCCTTGATATCATCCGCTCCAAGATGAGGCCACCGGAGATGTCCCATTCTCCCGCCTATTACCAGGACCAGGACCACCGCGTGACGGCATATCTCCACGATTCGACTCCGGTTCCTGCGGCCGCACATCTTCCACCGGAGCCCCCGTCATTGCCTAATCCCCGGCATGATCTCCGTCATCCGGAACTCAATTCGGGCGAGAATACTATACCCAACGCTTATCCCCCCGATTCATGGGATAATACCTACTCTCGGCATCCCCATCGACATTCTCAACAAGCCCATAAGCCTCCCCACCGTCAACCTCCGGTGGAGTCCATCTATCCGGATCCTGAGGTGTCGGCCGTGGCCCCGATGACGTTCGTATCCTCGCCCTATCTGGACAGCGGTTCCATATTGACACAAACTTCGTATAGTGGTGGAGCGGCTCGTAAAGAAGAGCGTGGCCGGAGGAGTTGGACGGATCATTCGTCGTATATGTCGAGCGACAATCATCATCTCGGAGTAACCCGACTTCAGAAACGAGCGATTCATACGGAAGAACCCTTGGCGGACGATAGTCAGGATGCCCTGCTGATGCTGGTAAGGATTAGCCTTTCATGTTCTCTTCGTTTTTTCTTGTTCCTGGCTAACCACTTGGCAATTATAGTTTCGATTATCCGTCCCGGTCCCCATCTTTTCTCTTTGCGCATCCTTATATACCGTCTTCGGGTTACTCTTCGTTCTTCTCGTCTCGCCTTTCCGCATTTGTCCCTGCATCCCATACCTTCGATCAACATCATTTCGCGAGCAGTTGTGCCATCTTCTGGTACCTCAATTGCATATTCATGAGCGATTAGTTCGTTTGCGGGGTCCCGCCACTCGATCGGTATACAATGACGCCGATGGGTCATCGGTCTCAGATCCGAGCGAACACTATTCCATTTTTGGGTTGATTGCGGTCCTCTTGCTATCATCACTTCTTTCCATCGCATTTCTTCTCCTTGTCTGGACCGCAGCCTTTTTCTGGGTTTTCGCCATGGTACTTGGCAACCCCGATGGCACCGAACGCAAAGACGACGGCCGTGCTGCTGTACTCGGTGTTTGTCGATGGTGGCAGATATGGCTACGCAAGGCCCGAAAACCGCCTCGCGAATAGCCTGTCTGTAAATTATCCTTGTTGCCGTTTCCCACTTTGATTCCGTTCTTTGTTATTAAGCGTGATCCCGTCTTGGCTATTGGACTCTTTTTCGATGTTGACATGATACCAATATGTGGGATATGTGGAATGATTTTTGAGGGGCATGTTTCTTTATATATCTTTTTGTTTCGCCTTCTCATTGATTTGATGAGATACTTCATGTGTACAGGAGTTGGGTTGGTCGCATAGGCGCCAGGAGCGGTTTTTATTTTTTGGTTACCTTTTTTTTTTTTCTCCTTTCCAATATCCAATGTGCGCTGTGAAAGAACGGAAAATGGCTCCTGAGGGAAGTGCTCACGGTGCCTCAGCTAATATGCAGGCCAACAGGGATTATCATCGAATCACGAATCAGGAAGTCTTGTGTACTGTACTACTACCTCACACGAATTGATACCCGGGCTGGTCTCATACCCTTTGATCTGCTGCTTTATGTGATCCGTCCATCTATTACTCTGAAATATCTAAACTTTACACAATCCACGGCGACCCGTAATCTAAAGTCTTGGCTTCCCGTGCCGAATGAGATCTCCAATTAGACAAAGTTGACTGGGCTGGACCGATGGAATAGAGTTCGTAGTGTGGTCGTCGGGTACGCAGCCGATCTGACATGTCTACCCAGGAGTTTTTCCCCCGTATAGTTCAGTTCATAATCCTCCACCCAATGAATTCCCCACCACAGTGCATCAATGAGACCACCCTACAAGATACGAACAATGCATTCCCAAGAACCAATAATATTTCAGCAACTTCAGGGTATAAAGATACCTATGTACGTAATCACACGGGGAGAAAGCAAAGCCGGAGGGAAAGGGAAAAAAAAACGCAATAAAGTTTTCAACTACAGCGAAACGTCCAATGCAACCGGAGATTTTTGCGCGAACTGTACCACGAACGAACAAGAAGGAAAAAAAAAGGGATTCAATTTTTGTCCAGCCATGCTTTCAAAGACAGAAAAACTGTAACGTAGGGACTTCATCAGTTTCCTGTTTCATCAACATCAATTCATACAGGGTAGATATTTCTTTTGTTGGGAAAGAAGAACGGATGTGGGGAGGTTTTTGAATTGATTGAATATGTGAGATGGAAAAAGGGTTGGTGTTGTTGTTTTTTTGGTTTTATTTTGTTTATCTCCTCTTTCCGAAGCGGCCGCCGCGCATGGGCTTGCGCTTTTGGATCCGTCCTCCGCCGCTGGGTCCGTGGCTCTTGGGCATGCCCAGACCACGACGGCCGGTTTGCTGCTGTCTGTTGTCGCCTCTTGATGGGGCCGGTTCGTCGCCCTCGTCCACGTCCATGTCGTCGCCGCGGTTGGATTTGCCCTTCTGGGCCTGGGCCATCTTGAACTTGCCGCGCTGGCCACGACGGACGGCGTCGGGTCCGCTGACGGCCGCGACGTAGGCGTTGATTGCGCTGTCGCCTGCTTCAGCGTTGCCTTCAAGGCCGCCGGACATCTCGACGTCGTTGTTGTCATCGTCACCCAGGAGGAGACGGCCGTCTGCGTCGACCTTGGCGGAGTGCTTGCGGCGGGATCCGGGGCCGGTGTTGAGGAAGCGGACGCTAGGCTTAGTGGTCGAGATACTGGCCAGGGCGTCAGGGGCGAGAAGATCCAGCGGGGTGTCCTCGTTCTCGCGGATGTATTGCTCGCTCTGCCGGTTGGGCTTCTTGCCCTTGCGGCCACCCTTGTTGATGGCGTGGGTGTCGCCGTGTTCGTCGACGTCAAGTTCGCTAGCGTCGTCGTCGTCGTCGGAGAAGTCGGAGTCGTAGACGGCTCTGTCGAAGGCGTTGCCGCCGTAAGACTGGGCCTTGGCGTTCTTGTTGTCGGCGGCCTCTTCATCCTCCTCGTCTTCATCACCCTTCTCAGCCTGCTTCTTCTTCTTGCTACGCTCGCGCTGCTTCCGGATGTTCACCACTAACTTCCGGTCGGCCTCGCCAACCAGTTCTTCAATCGGGGCTGCGCCGAAGCGGCGGATCAGACGATCCAGGATACCCTTGACCTTGCTGCGGAGACGGCCCTTGTGCTCCTTGCTCCATACCATGAGGTTTGGTACCAGAGTGTTGATGCGTGTGCGGAGCACGTCATCGGGAAGCACGACAACGGCAACCTTGACGAAGCCGAGCACAGATCGGACAATCTCGCGGTTGTTGCTGGTAAGGAACAGCTCTACGGTCTGCACCAGGTCGGAGCGCACAGCTGGTTGAAGTTCGGTGTGGAAGTCGAAGAACAGGCGAGACAAGGCTGTCACGGAGGCAGCAACCATGTGTGGTGAGCTACCCGCCAGACCCGCAGACACCATAGTGAAGAATTCCTCCATGGTTGCAGGAGCATCGGGAGCATTGTCGGGCATGTGGGGTACTAGCGAGTTGCGAATCTTGGTTCCAGCTGGGTTGAGTTCAGAGTCGGTAGTTCTCTTCGCAAGGTGGATGAGCAGATCGAAGGAAGCAGTCCTAGCCTTCTCGTTGCTCTCCTTGCAGCCCAAGACAACCTCAGAAAGGATAGACGGGATGAAATGCAGGTCAGAGGTTGGGAGGTACGTGATGAGCTCATCGACGGCAAGCATACGGTCACGGCGAGCAGAGGCTGGTGTCTTATCCGCTGTCGAAATGATGAGGGTTTGGAGTTCGGCACTCCGCTCGCGGAGAGCAGCAGCGCCCGTCTCAGTGGTGGCCAAACGGGGGATCAGCTTGTATGCCTTCTTAATCAGCTGCTGATCACTAGTATGTCCATTCAGGACAGCCGCAGCCATGGCGAACAGGCTTGCAAAGCTGGAGCGAGGCAGATAAATCGACATGGCGATAACCAAGTCGATCAAAGTGTGAGAAGTTGGAGGCATCTTGTCACCAGCACCACCTTGTTGATGGCCCTGCTTTTCTGCAGCCTCCTTCTCTGAAGCCATCGACGACTCTAGCATAGAAGTGACACGAGTAAATGTATCATTGAGCTCCTGTAATATATCAATTAGTATGCAGCTCAAGAGTAGTGGGATGAGCGAACTCGACTAACCTTCTCGGGAGTGATACTCAAGTAAGCATTAATACATTGCAGAATGTAGCCTCTGTAATGTGGAAGTGTCTGGCTGTACACGTTGAAAAGCACAGCTAGCAAGTTGCTGGCAAACCCGGCAAGATGGGCGACGTTCTTCTCCGCATCCTTCTTGGTAATTCTTCGCTGGAGAACCAAGTCATCACCCTCCGTCTCGAGAGACAGAATGGCCTGGTTTGACTCAACCAGGTTTTGCAAAGCCTTGCAAATGTCCACACGCAGATCGGTTTGCTTGTAGAGCACGTTGGAAAGAAGTTCGGCGAAGCTCTGATCGAAAGCCTCAACCAGATCCAAAGGCAGCTCGCAGTATCCAGGAAGAATAGACCAAGTCTGCTGAACAAGTGTTTCGAAGATCTTTGTCTCCACGGGCTTCTCTGCGTCGGTGAAGGCCATAACCTTCTGGTACAGAGCTTCACTCAGAGGAACGAGCTCGGAACGGAAATGAGCGAGGTTTGTGTTGGTAACATGGTCTCGAAGCACAGGGAGGAACCAAACGCGACCCGGTTGACCAGCCTTCTGCTCAATAATATTGAGAGGCAGGATCTCAAGGACCGCCGCAGGGCCCATGGCTTCAACGGCACTGCCGAGAACCTGATCGGCCTGCTTCTTGCCATGGAAGGATTCATTACTACGGAGCTCTCCCACAGTCTTCACAATGTCATTCAAAAACGGACTGGACCGCCACTTGAAACTATCGAACATTGCCGAGCACACGTTGAACACTTCCGCCCAAGCCGCCTGGTACTTCACGGAAAGCAGATTTGTTGCCTTCTTGGCCAACTTCTCGAGCGTTTTCTCATCGTAGACCGATGGTTCAATGATCACACTGTTGGGAATACAGTTGGCCATGAATGAAACCAGACATTCCGATGCCGAAATCCTAATATTCTTCGATGGCGACGCCAAATAACTGGAAATCATGTCGAACAAGGAGGGCAGCTTCTCAAAGGTATCCTCGGGGCTGATCTGAGAAGACACATCGTAACCGCGGGACAGAACGGCAATCCATGGAGGGAGCAACTGCGAATCGTTCTGTGCGGGCTTCAATTCCGAGATCGCCTCAAGAAGACGGGGCAGCTTTGACGACGAGAACTCATCGGCCATGCTGGAGAAAATAACCTCGAACACCTCGAACGCGCCCATTGTGATAAACTCGTTGCTCGACCGGGAAGCATTCATCAACAACTCGCATAGCGGCTCGATCTTCTTGCTCGGCCAGCCTCCGGAGGCGGTCGCGACCGTCTTCACCAGTTGAAGGGAGTGGATGACCAGCGGATCATGGTTATGTGTGTGAGGATCGTTACGGCCTCGCTTCTGTTTGGCTGCGGCGGCGATACTGTCACCCAATGTGCGGAGTGCGGACTCTGCACACATATCTGCCGCCGGGTGATCAAGCGACGGACTGGGAGGAGGAGTCTTCAGGACCTTGATCAAAGCGTCCTGGGCCCTCTTGCGTACCTTAGGGCGGTGATCCACGGACAGGCTCAGCAAGCCCGCAGTGGCCCGGCGCGGGCTGATCTGGGTGTGGGGGAGATTCCATGCTGCGGCATCCTGAGCGATGAGTAGCGACTCGAGGCAGCCGATCGACGGTCTAAGCAATGGAGCTTCGGATTCGGGCAAAGAGAGCGCGGGGGCAAGGCTGGTAAGGATTTGGGAGAACTTGGAACGGAGAATTGGAGCGGGGGCGTAGGCGGTGGTAATGTCGAGGAGGTAGACCACTGAGGTTGCCAGATCCTTGTTGACAATGCCCTGTTCGGCAGAGATCGACTGAGACAGCAAAGCAAGTAGCGCGGCAAAGTAAGCTGTAGGTGAAAAGTCTGCGTTCTGATCTCGGAGCGTGTCTTCCACGGCAGAAAGTACCACAGATGTCTCATACAAAGTTAGCAATGGTTCTGCGGCACGACGGCGCCGGACTTACATG